TTGACATGGAAGCGGCTCGCATCCAGCAAAGAACCTTAAATCACACAGAACTAAGAAACAGCCAGATGTGAAAAAGTCACCAAAAACTAAAAATGTATGTAACATCCACAAAAAACAGGCCTTTTCAGAGATCCAGGAACAGGTTGACTTCCAACTTTTCTGCAGCAGTGGAAGGAAATGAAATGTCAATAACTTGGTGCACAAATTCTGTCTGTACGAAGGCAGAGTTGGAAAAAAGTGTTACTGCACCCTCTGAAGCATCATTTGGTAAAAGGCCATTAAAAAGTCAGAGCTCCTCAGCGTTTCACCCTCAGCGGGATAATGAGCTACAAACACCTCCAGGCTGTGGAGAAGAAGAGAACACGTGATGGACTGACAGCACAGTGTCCAGACTTTCCCAGTGAAGAGTGAAAGAAAAAGCAAACTGCCAGTCAACACAGCTGTGGGACCTCTGCAGCGCTGCTGTCTGTCCCCACACCGTTCAGTTTCATCTGTAGAGAAAATGGCACAGATGTGTTCGGCTGCTGCATCACACTGGTAACAGCTGGAAACACGAGGTGATTTAGTTTTTGAGGGGAAGTGAATAATTAAAATAGTCTGTTTTAATGTACAACATATCCACCTAATGTATATGCATTTGCAGGAAGTGTGTTTCTTCCTGTATTAGCATGGGCACAAAACAGGGCACACAGCTCAGAAGTCTGAATTTTCCAGCAGAGCTGACCTTCTACAATGACTTTCAGACGCAGATGAATTGCTTGTCACCTAAATGTTTTCATGCTCTCATCGTTTCTCACTGTTGGCAGAAAAACCCACTCTCTGTTGTCCAGCTTGGTGATAATGGCTTTGCTTCTTTTTTTTTTTTTTTTTTAAAGATACTTTTACGGAGCCATGCTCCGTCATGGCTTTGCTCATCTACTGCCTGTATTGTCCATTTTACCTCCGAAAGACAAACTTTATATCAAAGGTGGCAAACTCCAGAATTAAGGAAAGTGGACCGTCAGTCTGAACAGGAGCAAACAAGTGTGACAGCAGGTCAATGTGGTGAAGACTGAGAGAAGGACTCGAGTCGATGAATGCAGCGTGAAAACTGCCTGATATCAAGTGCCGCCACTCGGTGCTTTGCTAATGTATTTTCACATTTCAGTGCCAATATGGTGCCTTTATTTTTATAAAACCCCTTTTTTTATTTAAGTGTTTTATACATCAGTATTAAGCAGCGGGCCTCAGTCCAGTTACCATTTTGTCTTTCATTCCAACCTTAACCCAGCCAAAAATACTATTATCCCCTCTAGAGCAGCTCTCCTGCATTATACTGTAAAACGTGATGATCGATGATGCAGTTTATTCTCACTCTTTACAGTGAGAAGGGTATGTAAGCCCAAAAGGCTTCAGTCCAATGAAGGATGGCCCATCAAAAGAGCCTTTGAGTGTCACTGCAGATCAGTTGTACACTTTAGCTTTTAACCCCTCAACCTGTTACTTTCAGTCGCTGCTCTAAAAGCCTTATATCCTCAAGCAAGCAGGCATTTTTCTGTCATCAGTACTTATTCTGGACTTTTACGTCTCTTTTTATTTCCAGCGCTCTGCGACTCAGACCTCAGGCCTGTGCACTCCTTGCTGTTTTCTTCTAAAGTCGGCATTATTGCAGTTCAGTTCATGGTGCTGGTGTACTCTTTTAAGACTTTAAGTCGCTCCACAGCATCGGCTGAAATCTCCGACTGTGAGAAAGCAAATGCATTCGCTTATTATTTATGCATGCAGGCTGGAGGCTGGTGAAGTCTGCTTTCACCTCCAATAAGACTCAGGCTCTTTCTTCAAGCTGAAACACATGGAACTTCATTTCTTCGGTCTTTGTGTTTGCTCCTCCCTGACTAGCGTTTCACGTTTAAAGAATTTTTTGCTGACATTATATTTGCATGTTGTCTGCAGGGTCTTTTAGCATCTTTGGTCACACCTCTGTTTCCTTTATAGTTATGTTTTTCTTTGTTGTCTTTGTTGGGATGGGAGGCTTTGACCTCAGTATTTTAATCAAGCTGCTGGGTTTTCTGAGTTCTACTTGTATTTATTATTTAGGAAAGCAGTTGTTCATTTTGGTGACTGATGTAATCATCACTGCACTGGTCTCTCTGTGTAAGAGGCACAAACTGAGGCCAATTCCTTTGTTGACTGGTTCAGTTTTTTCCCTTCTGGCCATGCTGATTGTTAGCAGCTTTGTGAGATTTTAATGCTTTGTGTATGGCACACATCCACAGCTTAGGCACTATTTATGGTCAACTGGCAGAGGTTTCATTGGCTGGGCCTGTGAGTCACCCTCTCTGTTCGTCGTTATGTATGCTGGTGAAGGGAATCAAATTAGTGAAGGACTGGACAATGGATTTATTGTGACTTCTGACTTTGTTTTGTGCTCTAAACCTGAATAACGAACACATACGACCGTGGCTGCTCTCGGCTCTCATTTACAAAACCACACAAGCATGCACACACATTTCCATGTTGTTCAGTCTGCTCACTTATGTACATTCACATCTTACCTATTTAGCTGAAGCTTTTATCTCCAGCTTACATTTAGCTTCTACTGTATAATGCGTTCAGGGTTTATCTAAAGCTGCAACTTTGAAGTCAGCCTGTTCAGCAAACCTTTCTTGAAAAAGGCAAGTGTCCTCTTGTCTCTGACATATTTCATAAAGTCAAGCTTGAGAATGGTTTGCTTCAGTCGCAGAGCAAATGTTGTGGCCACTGTGATGTGTTCTGAGCAACGACCCGTGATCCCGACTGCATTTCTGAGGAGACACTTTGTCTTTAACAAGCACCTAGCATCAGACCCTCAAAGCTAAGTAGAGCAGAATGGAGCAGAGGGAAAACTGCATCATGAAATGCGCAAACGCTGCTGGAGAATCCAAAATGTGAAATTACTGAAGATTTAATCACTACAACTGTGTTAATTCCTTGTTTTTGAACCTGAGATTTGAAAACTAGCTTCACGAGCCAGGATAAAATGTTGAAATATTTGGTGATTTGTTTTTAAATGTATTTAAAAAATCAAGTTATATGACACAGGTAAATATAATATTGGCAAAGACTGTGTTTCTGTAGTGAGCAGCACTTTACCAAAAACAATATCAGTCATTTTTTTAACCTTTTTTCATATCATATACTGCGATTGTCTAGAAATTATAGTTGCTGCCTTAGTAATGACTCATAAAGAAAACCACGATAAAGAAAAGATGATCAAAAAGCGGGTGGCATGGTGGAGTAGTGATTAGTGCTGTCATCTCACAGAATGTTCTGGGTTTGAGCCCCGGCCGACCACACACGCCTTTCTGTGTGGACTCTGCATGTTCTCCTCCGTGGGTTCTCTCCAGGTACTCCAGCTTCCTGCCACAGTCCAATGACAGGTTGGGTTGGCTGGGGGGTC